GTGCTATCTTATACTTTGTATTGAAGGGTCGGTTCTTGTTCTGGTCTGCACCTATACGGTATGCAACACCACCAGTACGTGGCCCCAGCCCTGTTGAGAATCCGATTGAACCTCTCGTAGAATTTCGGGGGCTCGGGACAGGGTGTCCGAAGGGCCAATAGAAAAAAAGAGTCCCATGCCGTGAAGTGGCATTAGGCCCAGCCCTGCACCCAAAAAAAACAGAAATCCGCCTGCTTCCAGGCGGGCACTGTCCCGAGTCTCCTAACTTTTCGTAGAGGCTCATAGACGTACTGTTGGTTTAAGGTAACAATCCTTCTTGCTGTTTTCTGTCAAACATGGCGTAATTCCTGTTGTTCCTCTCACTAATTGGAGGTGGCTGATTCTTCTCCCTCCCCCCCCTGCCTTCAAAACCCCTTTGTTCTTCAGCCTGACATTTGATATCAAGACTTTCATGCAGGGTGACTCGAGACAAGTCTTGTCTATGTTGCTAAGAGGCAGAAGGGGTTGGTGGTGGGGGACTCTCTCTGGCACGCAGCCTGTCTCAAATTGTGTATGGTCACTATGGTGTGCAGATGCAAACGCAGACGTATGTGTTCATTGACCCCTCACTACTGTCCACCCCTGAATAGAAGGTATGGGCTTTACGACCGTATTATAGGCAACTTTGTTCTGAGATGAGCAATAATGCCCATGCGTTCTGTTCAGGGAAGAAAGATGGTAGCAGACTAGGGGAAAAGTTCCTTTCGTAATGAAAAAAAGTGCACAATCAAAAGATCCTTTACCAGTAAATGAACATGTAGGTAGTGGTCAACGCAACATAGTACGAGTCTGTATGGCATATATGTGCAATGCTAACAAATCACACTTTCAGCAATTGTGGAAGAGAAGTTTTCGGCAGCATTGTTGTATGGGTCACATATTTGTGGGCACTCCTTGTGCTTTGTGAGTTTGCAGTGATGTTCGGGGACCAGATGAATGGCTGTGTTTGGATTTTGGTGGAATTTTGGTAGGGAGTTCTGATGATGATCTTGGGCGTAGCGCAGTCTCTCTGTTCCCTGCAACCTTCACCCTCCCTCTCCCATCTGCTAGTCTCTTGTTGCCAGTTGTGCGCTCTCTGGTATCAAGTTGGGCCAGAGCTTGGAACAGGTTGAAAGAGACTAAGGCGTCAATTCTTGACGTTCGTGTTTCAGATCTATAATTTCTTTAGCAAAACGGTTTCAACTGGGACATTCGTAAAGTAGGCCTACGAAGAACGGTAGTATAGGTAAGACAGAGAATGGTGTTCAGAAGGTGTAGAAATGACTTGTACCTGTACTCCTTTTTCTCATTGTGAACGGAGCTGGACCCCATTTAGAAGGCAGCAGGTTTTTTCATGGCATATCAGCGAATCGTCGTGATGTGGACTGCATGGCAAAAAGTTGAAATGCCGTTGTGGAGGTACCACCGCTTCAGTCCAAGTGGGCTTCTGTTTGGTTACATCGTGTATATGTCTATGGTTATGGGTGTGGACGAAGGGGACTGCTGCAGGCATTTGCTCATGCGTAGGATCAATTTTACATGATGTGGTGTTGCTAGTGAATCATAGGTACACTGCAGTACAGGCATCGTGCAGGCATGGGTTGCGTGGGAGAGTTACTTATCGGCAAGAGATTGTGGGTGGGTTTACATAGCCATCGCGTGATCGGAGACACCATAGGGTATAGAGTCAACCTGAAGGTCACACTATTAGCAAACAGAAGTACATGGACTCGTTGACTGGACTGTTATGCAGAGCCTGAAGGTCATTTCCTTGCCTGATACGAGGACTCGTTTACTGGATTCTGAAACATAAGGTCACAGTGAAAAACTGGAGAAGGTCGTTGGCATGGAACAGCCATAACTAACAGAACTGTCACTTTTAACTTACGAGGATGCAGAAACTCACATGCTGGACTCCATACCGCGAAGTCGGGGAGGAGGATGAATTTGGAAGGCATTGAAGCACAAGTGGAACGTTCAGAGTGCACATTGTTGACAGTGTGCGCACTGATAAACATGGCATGCCAATCAGGACCCTCATCCGACTAACTGTGCTGCGACGAGCAGACAGTGCGGTAGTCATTGTTGTGATGTATTATCGTTCTTTATCGTAGCGTATGTATAGTTGCATCTAGGTACATAGGGAGCGGGTATGGCTTGCGGAGAGGATAATTTACGTGCTGTATCTGCACAAATGAAAGGCTCTCAGGAACCGAATGTCTTGCCCGACCTTTTCTTGTGAGTTTTTATTTGTAGCTGCCAATGCCTCGTTCTCTCACAAGTTTCAATTCCTGCCCCTCCTCTGCTCCTCCCCACAAAATCCCCAACCATCACCAACTCCTGTGCCTCCTTCCCTTAGCTTCCACCTGCACACACGGTCTGGTGATATACCCGTATAGTCCTTTGGCAGGCACGGTGTGTGATCGTCGCAACTGTGGGTACTGAATTCCCTCAAACATGAGGGTCGGTCATCATGAAAGTATACAAGGTATCTTAATGGTTCCGTACAGTCGTTGTGAGAGTACCTTGCGGCAGCTAGAAGACCGTAGTAACACAGCTTGAATCCCCTCATTTCTTTGACATGGGTGAGGAAGGGGTCACAAATCGTATGGATCCAACGTCAATGCTTTTTACGAGATGTTAATAAAAAGAAGTGTGGTTTCCCCAATCTGTTTATCCATCAAGGCTATTGATGGATAGGTAACAGTGTGAGAGGGAAGTTGCAGTGCAAGGTGTTGAAGATGAAATGATAGGGAGAGGAGGGGGTATGGGCTCGATTGAAGAGGTTTTATATGTGATCTGGTGAGTAAACAAACAAACAAACAAACAAACAAAGTATGATACCTGAAGGGGTATGAACAAACCTGCAAGAAAGCAAATAAACAAAGTGTGATATGTCAAATTCATGACAGCTGAAATGCCCCCTTATTGCGACCCCTTGTGTAGAAAATAGTGGGATGGAATGAAAAATGGGACCCCCTTCCTATTGTGTCCCTTTGATGGGATTATAAAAAGAATAATCAAGCAAGCAAGCAAACAAACAAAAAAGCATGCAGATATGGATTGCTATGGTGGCTATGCTGAATTTATAATACCGTGTTGTCTCTGTCTCATTGGCAGTCATTGTGTAAAGAAAAGAATGGGGGATAGGGAGGGGGGAGGGGAGGGGAGGGTGAGGGATTGTGTGTTTTCAACTAATTATCTGCGTATTGTACCCGTACCTCATTGTCTCTGTTTTCAGGCAGGGCGCTAAGTGATGTGTTCTCTACCTTGCTTGTAGGAATCATTCATGAATGATCAGTTCTCAATTGCAACCATCGGAGTCGCTTTGGGTGAGCCCTCTTTATTAACTGTTGTATTCCAGCCCTGGTCCAGCATACCTCTCCCTGTCTCTGCACAGTGATGTTATGACAACTGTTGGATGTTGGCATGAAGACTACGGTTTCTGGTGAAGGATGGTCGCCGTCCTGGTGTTTGATACGTGTCGTAAGGAAAATGAAATATGATGAAGTGTTTTTTTTTGTTGTTGTTTTGTTGTGTTTTGTTTTTGAGGTTCATATTGGAAGTGGTATGATGTGCACATTCTTCCCAATGCTTGTGTATCAGTGAGGATGTCTGCCGAACTTTATTAAGAGGATTATAATTGCATGTACCAGCTTGGGAGAGTTCACAATTCGGATCCCGTTGTATACAATAATGCCTTGTTGCTGGGTATGAAGGGGGGTTGTTCGCTGGGTGTAGTGATAAAGGATGCAAAATTTAAATTCTGTTGGGAAGAGCGTGTTTTGGTGCACAATTATGATAATTGCTATGTCACCCCTCCGTGACCCCTCCCCTGACCGTCCGGGTTGTCCCCCTGGACAACCGGCCGAACGTCCGACCAGAGCCTTTTGTCCGAACCTACATAAAAACACCTAAATGTTTTTATTTCGTTTGAATTTTTTCCTGTTGATTCTTCTGCATATATAAATCGCCAAAGATGGCGGTGTAAAAAATATGCTCTCCAAGTCTCTATTTCGTTTTTTTAAGTTTTTCTGTTTTTCTTTTCCCTGTTTCTTTTTATTTTGGGGCTTAATTTTCTTTTTTTCCTCTTGTAAGTCTTGTGGGTGCTTTGAGAAGTGAGGTATATCCTTAAAAAAATTCAGGCAATTTGAATTAAAAAAAAAAAAAAAAAAATCATCAAAGGTTGCGGTGAAAAAAGAAAAGAAATCCTCCTCCTCCTCAACCTTGTCCTCCTCCTCCTCCCCCTACTGTTCTTCTTTTTTCCTCCTCATCGTCCTCCATCACCACGGCCGCCTCCTCCTCTTCCACTGCCTTGTCCTTCTCCTCCTCCTCCTCCTCCTCCTCCTCCTCCTCTTCTTCTTCCTCGTCCTCCTCGTCCTCCTCGTCCTCCTCATCCTCCTCATCCTCGTCTTCTTCCCCCTCCTCCTCCTCCTCCTCCTCCGTCCTCCTCGTCCTCCTCCTCCTCCTCCTCCGCCTCCTCGTCTTCCTCCTCCTCCTCCTCCTCCTCCTCCTCTTCCTCTTCCTCCATCGACGATGCCCCCTCCTCCTCCCCCTCCTCCTTGCCCTCCTCCTCGTCTTTTTTCTCCTCCTCCTTGTGTGTAGCAGTGGGCCTCTCCATTAACCCCCATCCCTCTCCCCTTTTTACCATTTCTTTTCGTTTTATCTCAGAATGGCCTGAAATTGTTTTGGGGGGGTCCTGTAGTGGTGCGCAGACCCCTCCCCCCCCCAAAAAAAAAATCATTTTTTATTTTCCTTTTTTGGCCTAAAAGCTGTTGTCCGGGATCCTGGACAACTCCCCTCCGACTGTCGCCTGGAGACATTCGGGGGACAAGTCTCCGGATCGGACAGCTGGCAGCCTAGGGTAATTGCATGTAGCAGCCTTGCATTCTGCCATCACAACTCGTAATTTTTGTTTTTCGTTTTGTTTTTTCTTCCAAAGGGGAGATGTCCTTGAGGTATCATTATTGAGGTTTTCACTGGGCAGTGGTTTCACAGGTTTCATGTCTTTGCATTTCTGGTCACCAGGGGGTTGGTTCCCTGCAGGGTTCAGACCCTGTAAGCGAAACTGGATAATGCTCCCAGATGGTTATGTTCCGGGTAGACTGTGTCGAGGATCTCTTTGCAATGAATGGACCGAGTCCTTTTTCTTTTCTTTTTTTTCTTTTTAATCGTCATTGAGCTGACCAGCCCCAGGCAATTTAGAAATATTTGGTTTTAGTCATCTAGTTCCATCATCTGGATTCGAACGCTGACTTGTATTCTAACAGTTCATCGGTGTACCCGCGGAGCTTGGCTCTTGGGTGCACAACTCGTTATCGGATAAAATCTGCCACGGAAAATATGCCATTACCTTTGAGTGTGCGTATTCTGGTTACCAGCTTCTGGAAATGTGGAGTTTTAGCAGTCTGGCCTTTTTTTTTTTTTTTTTTTTTTTTTTAGCTTGATGTGCAGTGTTTTTACAAAATGTACTGCGAAAAACTATGCGGCGACAGGTATTTTAAAACTGTATACGATTTTGAGGGAAGGGGAGAATGAAGGTATGTGTACCGTGTTTCGTGTTTTTTGTTGTATTTTTGTGTTTATTTGTGATTGACCTGTCTGTACAGATCAGATGGAGGGATGAGATCAAGATGTCCTTCAGTTTTCATATTCCGGTTACCAGCTTCTGGAAATGTTGAGTTTTAGGTTTTTAGCATTTTGAGGTATTTTGTGATCAGATTGTTCAGTACTTTTTACAAGATGTATTCCGAAGAAGTTTCGGCGGACATGTATCCTAAAAATCGAGAACGAGTTTTGAGGTATTTTGTGTTGATCTGTGATTGACCTGTCTGTACAGACCAGATTGAGGGATCAGATCTCAAGATGTCATATCCTCATGGGCCCATGGCTGACAGGGTCCAGTCTCTGAGCAGTCGCAGTCTTCATGTCTGCTGCTAGCATGGGCTGAGCAAAAGGGGGAGTGAATCATTCAATCGTGTTACAAGTTGCAAGTTGAAATCTTTCGGTACAGGATGGGTGTCATCTGTTTCTGAGGAATGGAGGTTGCTCAACATGTAGGATATTTTGTTTCTAACATTTCCTTTTCTCAATTGGCTTGGCTGTTCGGCTTGTTTTGTGTCTCTCTTTCCTCTGTGTTGGTATGCAAATTGCGAATGGGTGCATTTCAACATTAGTCTGGTTCTGTGTCAACACCGTAGGATCAATCTTGATTGGCTTTACAGTGTCGCTGGCATGTGCATACATCCTCCAGAACATCGATCAGGAGAATGAGTACTCCAAGTTTGAGTTGGGGTTTATCCTCCTCTCGGCGTACTTCGCATATCTGCTTGCGGAAATTCTCTCATTGTCAGGTATCATGGCACTCTTCTTCTGCGGCATCTGCAATGCCCACTATGGTTATTACAATATCTCGCAAGTGTCCAAGACTACGACGAGGTTCGCATTCGAGGCTCTTGCCTTTCTGGCAGAGATCTTCCTGTTCGCATACCTTGGGATGCAAGTCGTGGTGTTGCGGCATGTAGTTGACAAGGGGTTAATGATAGCGGCAATTCCTTTGTGTCTCCTTTCGAGGGCAGTGAATATCTTCCCTCTTGCTTACATTGCAAACAAAGGAAGGTATGTGTGCGTTCTGCTCTTCTTGGTTGCCTTGTTGTTTTGATTTTTCACACCCTATCTATTGTTGCATGTTAACTTTTATGTAGAATGGTCAAGCCAAACAGGTTACTTATCTAATCCCCACGCGCCCCAAAATTTTCAGCTCAGCACCTTAGGGGGTCGTGGACTTCGTAATTGGATATGGACACCACAACCAAGAGGCCTAAAAAGATATGCTCATGGGATGTCATTGCCCAAACTCTATAGATCTTGCATAGTATTGCGCTTGACAGCAGAAAGTTATGGGTTCACGTTTCAGCTCGTGCAGGCAGAGCGTTTTCTGTTTGTTTTTTTCAATGTACGGTGGTTCATCAGTGCAAAAGTATCTTGCCTGGCTGTCTGTCCAGATACATGTAGTGGAGGAAGGTCCGTTCTTGGGCTTGCACCTCGGACAGCACTGCTACTCTGGTTTCACGAAACCCAAACCCATGACTTTCTGCCCAGAGCGCAAGGACGTTGAAGGAAAATATAAACTCAGCAAGCCACTGCTGAAACATCGTCCTGGCTCAGAGTGGACGAGGAGCGTAGGGACCTGCTAATAATGTCTGGTCCATGGTCCATTGGACCACATGTTGCTAAAATGAGAAGCTGGGGCCTACTGGAACCTTCATCTCAAACGAAGAATGTCCGATGGTTCGCCTCTGCTGATCTGCTAAAATCAGCGGCAGAGATCCTCCTCCCAGTTTTTTCACCAAGTGGGGCCCAAAAGGCCCTGTTTGTTTTTGTAAGGGAGGCAACAGCCTCCCGGGGTCAGGGGAATCGCGCAGATGCCTGTGACTCCCCGGTGCCCCCCCCCCCCCAAGCACGATGCGCTGGGTTGAACCGGGGGCCTGCCGCCCGGGGAGGGCTCTCCGGTCCATCCGGGGACCAGCACTGGTTGACAGTGCCCCAACCTCCGACAGCACAGCATGGAGAGTAGCCCTCAGCGCATGAAGCCTGTCTTCAGTGCTGTCATTCGTAAGTCCACTCGGCCACCAGTTATGCCCGCCGTCCTCCGGATCCTGAAGCAAGCTGCGTTGCCCAAAATAGCACAGTTCAGTTTCCCCGACTATCCAGACCACACGAATCGTGAAAAGAACCCATCCTAAGTCAACCAGACACTATTTTTAGACTACCCCAAGGACTACGAGACCCAACCTAGACCTGACCGAACCAAAGCGGCCTACAGTACCAAAAGGCAGTAGTACCAGTCAGTCCATAGCACAGGCCAGTTAGAGCCTGGAAGTCAGCTTTTAACAAATATGTTCTCGTAGGGACATGCCGATAGCGGACACAGATTAGGCCTCTAAGGTCAAAGAAATTACAGAACTAACACTACTACGTGTTACAGCTCGCTGCAAATCTGCAAGGTCATTCCACAGGTGTAACTCTTTTGTCTGGAGGGCAGTTAATCCCTTCAAGCGAGGGCAATCAATGCTGCTCCTCCCCTCAGTTTCACCTTGGCTCCTGTACGACATGTACGAGGTTCGCTTGACCCCGTTTCCAGCTGGTGCTGCTGCGCACCAATAGATTGGAGCTGTCTTTGAGTGCAGGCCTATTATTGGGGTCTGCTCTTATCAACCCCAATAATGGGTTTCCCGGACATGTTTTTGGGAAGAAAAAAACAAAAACAATAACAGCCCTGACCTGGCAGGATACCCCACTGGGTGTCGCATTGGCCTTGCGGTTGCAAGTGACCCAGTCCCTTCTTTAATAGGTTTCCTGATGGCAGGCCTGGTGAAATTCCCCACTGTTCCAGCTACCAGCCGTACTGTTGCTGCCAGCCCATCTACTCTGGACACTCTGCAAAAATGTGTCTTGCATGCTATGGTTAATTTGCTGCTGCATCTGCTACCAGCTTTGCTGTTGCTATATGATCAGCACTTCCTTCTACACCCTTCACGCATGAGCAGGTATTTGCTGCTGCATCTGCTACCAGCTTTTCTGTTGCCCTATGCTCAGCACTTCCTTCTACATCCTTCATGCGCGCGCGCTCTGTGCGTGTGTGATGTACACGGCTTGATTGCCCACCGTTCTCTGTCATTGCTTTGCCAATTGGCAGCATGACCAAGGTCCGTCCCACTACTGTTTTCTGTCAAATTATCATCTTGGGCTTGACGCTCATCTGTGTCAGAAGAAATCGACTTAGGTGTGCTAGCAGCGACAGTTGGGTCGACGGTGGGCCTTGTGCGAGCTTTTCCTGGACTGTGCCTGCTTTTTCCTTGCTTGACGGTGTAGAGCTAGTGGCCGAGCCAGCTCGGAGCAGGCTCGGCGGGGAGCTTTTCCCAGGCCAGATCTGCTATTGCAACACCTGCTTCTTCATCTAAGGTTGCAGAGAAAGCATGATGAGGACCTCCTTCCGTAACTGGATTGTTCATTTACCGCTAATCAGAGTGCAGCTAAAGAGAAAGAGCTGCGGGGTCATGAATGTTCAAGGAGTTTTAGAGAGTTCTAGAAGTAACGACTTGTAGTTCTCACCAGGGTTTTCTGTAGAAGGCCTTTGCACAGCGTATGAGGGTCTTATCACGAAGATACAGGTTTGATGTGGACAGTTCTCTCACTGGCCTTTTCTTTTTTGTTAGTATGAAGATCTCAGATGACTGCTGAATTGTTGTGCAAAGAATTTGCTGGAGCCGATAACTTCATTTTGCTCAGCAAATTTCTGTCGCAGCCAATGCAACCACGTCCTCCTTTTTTCATCCCCCGGTGACGTCAGCTTGCTGGTAAGACACCAGAGAGACCTCCCTCAATAGTCGTCGTGTTGAAACTGGCACCGGTCATAAAAAATGAACGAAGTTTCCCGTGTGGAACGTTGCCTGATGGTGCACAAAAGAGTGTGGGAGTGCTGCTAGATCTGAAAGAAGTCTCAATCCATCTGAAAGGCAAACTGGAGCAGCTGTCTGGTCGATCTAATAGTGTTGGTCTCCTATCTATTAGGATTGGCATGTTGCAGATGGTGGTGGGGTCTTTTGTTGATAAATAAAACTCTTTCTATGGTGAAATTCGATGTTCTCAGGCTATGCTGCTGACCTTCACTTTCAAGAATGGACGTGGGTGCTGTTTGGTTAAATCGGCCTTCACTTTCAAGAATGGAATGTGTGTGCGTGCTGTTTGGTTCTAAGTTCTTCAATTGGCAAGTGTTCATCTACTTGTCTAGGATGTTCCGAATTTCTGCAATTCTCTCTGTGTGCTCGTATATAAGCAAACTTCACTTTTAAAGAATGAACGCGTATGTGGGTATTGTTCGTTTCTGTATTCTTGAATTGGCCACTCTTCATCTTATGCATCTTCTGGTTCAGAGTTCGACCAATTGTTTGTGCCAAACTGTTATTGCCAGACTGTTTGTAAGACACTGGTTGTCCCGAACTGTGCGTGCTTAACCTATCTGTGCTAACCTGTTTGTGATACACCTGTGTGCGTTAACCTGTTGTGATAGACCTGTTTGTGCTTACCTGTTTGTGATAGACCTGTTTGTGCTTACCTGTTTGTGCGAAACTGTTGTGCTTGCGACGTGCAGAGTTCGACCAATCACAATGGAGATGAAGCTGATGATGTGGCTTTGTGGCCTCAGGGGAGCAGTTTCTTATGCGTTGGCCGTCAACATGCCAACAGACAATCGTGCAATTGAGACCACGACGCTGTTCATTGTTGTGTTTACGACTCTTGTTTTTGGCTGTGCGACTGCACCTACAATGCGTTATCTGCATCTTGTTCCAAGCACGTCTGCAACGGCAGGCTTTACCAGCTTGGATGCTTTGCTGGACAGGGGAGCTGGAGACTGGGGGTTGAGTGGTCCGAATGACGACTCCGGATGGGGTCCGCCTTCAGGCCCGCATAGGCTGTTCAAGTGGATGGATGACAATTATCTGAAGCCTGTCTTTGGAGGCCGCAGAGACAGGGAAGATCAAATCCCTTTTATACGGGATGCGCAACGTTCCAGTAGTGTAGAAAGCCTGGGCATCGGGGCAGAGAATGGAGAGGGAGGTCTTGTGCTCGGCGATAATGCCAATGGGCTGAGTGACGATGAGGAATTCAGAAGATCGCCAGAGCTTAGAAGTTATGAACTTCTAAATGCCGCGGATGATATGGTGGTCAGGCAAGGGGGACCTGTAAGATGACTCTAGTCTTTAGATTCCTGTTCCCCTCCTTGGCCCCCCTGCCCCCTCCTCCTTTTGGGTCTACACATTGTAGTTGTTGGTAAGTTGCTAAGTTTGTGTTTTTTAGTTGTATCCGGATATCCCTTTGCACAGCAGCTGCTTGCCCTTGTTTCCTCTTCTCTACCATTGATGCCTCCATGATGTTATGTCAATTCTTTTGCGTCAGATTTTTCAATGTATGCCTGCTTGTTTTATTTATTGCCAATCCTCGATCCTGAATACAAGTTCTGTGAGAGTAACGACAATGTCTGAGCATTGGTAGACTCTTTCGCGTAAAGGATGTGCACCATGTTCCGAATGATTGCAGTACATGTCAGCTTTCTTCTCGCTTGGTGAGTGCATAATCATCGATGCTATGGGTTTCTTCTGTTTTGTCTTTCCTTTGTGTATGTGCATGTGTATGTGGAATGTGTATCTGTATGTGTATGTGTGTATATGTGTGTATATGTGTATGTGTGTATGTGTGTATATGTGTATGTGTGTATATGTGTATGTATGTGTGTGTATGTGTGTGTGTGTCTGCATCTCGCTACATGGCCCCTCTTTGCAGAAGGATGGACGGATGGATGCTAGATGGTAGATACCTGACATTCAGTTCTCCATTTTCGCTTAGACGATTTGCTGCTGAATTTTGCAGCATATTTGTCATCAATTTTCCAGCGTGCTGCTTGAGGAAGCATGAGCTGGCTTGTTCACTGGAGCCAATGTTGGATGAATGAATCGAGTCCTGAATGTCCTTTCAAGTTTGCTTTCGACAGGTGTTGTGTGTGAAGTATTAACTGCCAGGAAACTGGTCATCGGATGAAATGGGTGATTCCTTTTCTTCGTTTAGTGTACAATCTTACAAAGCGTGTATTTGCTGTACACACTTCGTTTACTGTACAAAGCGTCGATGCTGTACACAAACTTGTAGCTCCGACAAATTGCTTTTGCTTAAATTTTTCGAGATATATTTTTATCCGGAGATGTGTTTTTATCCGCCATGTATGTGTTTCTGAAGCAGTGCTAGGTTCTTGTGCCATCAAATTGCCACTGCATCCTTGTGTAACGTTCGCATACGGGGGGAGAACCAGAAATGGGAGAACATGAACGTTAAAAATAATTAAATAATTAAGTAATAGTAATTAAATTCAATTAGAGGGCAATCCGCAGGAAACCAACATATGTCTGTGTAGGATCCTCGGAGACTTTACGTGGAGCTACTACTAATTAATAATATAAAAGAAAGACCAATGACTTGTGAGTATATGTACGATAGATACCTTTGTTTGTATGTCGTGTCACAAAATAGCTGACAGATCTAATATGGAGACTTGAAGGATAAGAAAGATAATTAATAAAGCGCCCATTGGAACTGTTTGTAAGAAACCATTCTAACTAAAGATGTAAATAAAGATACGTATAGTGCTGGAAAAGTGAAAATAAGGGCTCAACCATACATACCGCTCTTTGTTTCTAGTGTACGGCTAGCGGGACTTGAGCCCACAAGGCGGAAGTGCCGCCACATCCTAAGTGTGGTGCGTAAACCAATTTCGCCATAGCCGTTTCTTTCTGGAAAATGTATACAAGTTAGTTGCCTGAAAGGAGTATAAGCATGTCTACCCCACTTCGTGGCCTTATGGGTATACCAGGATTTGAACCTGTGACCATTAGGTTAAAAGCCCAATGCTCTACCAACTACACCCAGAATCCAGATAGGTGTAGTAGGATTTGAACCTACAATATCACCGTTATGAGCGGTGCGTTTGATTGATTTCATGCTAATACGCCAGTACTCACCCAATTTCATTTCAATTGAGGATCTAGTTAGTTCCTACGGCGAGCGGCTCGACTGACTCCTAGTCGTATTGGATCTGGCATATGAAGATGGAAAGCGTAGACGTATGACGCCGCCTTCGGCCTACGAGGTGAGATAAAGGTATAGTCTAACCTCTAGTGAAAACTAGAGATGATTGGAAAGGCCAATCAAACTCGGAGATAGCTGGTTTTCCGCAAAATCTACCGGGGTAGAATGTGTGATCTTTATTGCAAGAGGTAACTCGATGGGCTAGGGTGGCCCAAAGCTAGAATGCCTCGTTTACACCGAGAGAGCCAGCGGTTCAAGTCCGTTATTACCCTGATGGGAAAATAGCTTAGTTGGTTAGAGTGCTGGTCTGTCACGCCAGAAGCCGCAGGTTCAAATCCCATTTTTCTCGGGAGGTATGGCTGAGTGGCTGAAGGCATTGGTTTGCTAAATCAACATACAACAAGATTGTATCATGGGTTCAAATCCCATTTCCTCCRTTCCGTCGGGGGCGTAGTTCAAGTGATAGAACACATGTTTTGCAAGTATGAAGTTATCGGTGCTCCATTATTTGACAATCTGAGTGGTCTTATCAAGTGGCCTCTTTTAGGGGCCCTCACCATTTTACTTATTCCTAACTCGAAAATATGGTTGATACGAAGTATTGCCTTTTGCACCTCTTTGATCACTTTTTTATACTCTGTTGTTTTGGATACAATTTGAGAATTCTACAGCTAAATTCCAATTTGTTGATGGGTTCCTTACTCAAATATCAATTTTTATATAGGTTGAGATGAGATTTCTTTATTCTTTGTGGTGTTGACTACGTTCTTAATACCTATTTGGCATTTGCATGTTAGTAGGTTGGTTTAGTATTCAAAATTACAAGAAAGTAAAAGAATAGTGGCTAATATGCCATAAAGGGCTTGTTGTTTTAAACCAGCTAATATAGCATGATGAGCCCAAGTTACAGCAGCTCCAGATGAAAGAAGAATAAGATTATTTAGAAAGGGGATTCCCCAAGGATTTAACAGATCAATACCTTTTGAAGGCCAAATAGCCTCGATTTCTACGGTAGGCGCCAGACTTGAATGAAAGAAAGCCCAACGCCCTGAACAACTCTTCGAACCTTGTGAAGAACAACGAAATCATCGGCGTATATTACGAGGATAGCTCGGTCTTCGGCCGCCTGTTGCTGAGCCCACTCATGCAAAGCATTCTTCATTTCGTGCAAAGCAATGTTGGCCAGTAAAGGTGAAATTGGAGCTATTTGGCCTCCAAAAGGTATTGATGTGTTAGATCCTTGGGTAATCCCCTTTCTAAATACTCTTATTTTACTTTCATTTGGAGCTGCTGTAACTTGGGCTCATCATCCTATATTAGCTGGTTTAAAACAACAAGCCCTTTATGGCATATTAGCCACTATTCTTCTAGCTTTAGTTTTTACTGCATTTCAAGGAATGGAATATGTAGTAGCTCCTTTTACCATTTTTGATGTGATATATGGCTCTACATTCTTTTTAGCTTGTGGATTCCATGGCTTTCATGTCATCGTAGGATCTCTTCTGGGAGATGGTTCACTCAAAATATTCAATAAGAATGCAAGATTCTTTATTCGACATAGCCAAATTCAAGAATAATATTTTCTATAGAAGGCTAGTGCACTACAAGAAATATCACCTTCAGTACCTTTCGGAAAAAGTGGTTACAGTCAAAATACAAAATTGTTATTTCAAAGTCGTGCTCTCCTTCAACTAACAGAAATTCATAAAATAGCCTCTGCGCTCTTGTCCTTATCTGAAGATGTTTATATCGAAGAGATCTTGTGGCACCCACCAGTATGTGGGCACCTAAGAGTAAATACTGGCAGTGGTTAAGGTAGCTAGTCAAAGGCTACTAAAACACCAAATTCAAAAACTACCCATGCCAATGATAAAGGCAAGAAGACTTTCCAGCCGAGTCTTATTAATTGATCATAACGAGGGAAGAACCAGAAATGGGAAAACATGAACGTTAAAAATAATTAAATAATTAATTAAAATCAGGATAATATGAAAAATATATATATATAATGAAAAACATATGCTATGCAGTTATGTAAATTTGTAAATTAATAACAAAAATAACTTTTGTTGGGAGATGTCTCCATATCCGTAGCCAAATGTGAGTTAAAAATTAAAAGTACAACCTCCCAAAATGTGAGTTAAAAATTAAAAGCTAAAAAGTATACCCCCCCAAAAAGTTAGAAATTAAAAACCAAGGCTACCAACCAGGTTGCCTTGGTAACCCTATTTCCCGGCGGCCCGGTTGTGCAAGGATTAGGGAAGGTTATTTCAATGTCGTGCTCTCCCTCAACTAACAAATATTCATAAAATAACACTTACCTCGATGATATTACTTCGCTGCCTAACCTTTGCCCTCCTGTCCTTATCTGAAGACGTTGATATCGAAGAGATTTTGTGGCACCCACCACTACGTACAAAATTGTTATTTCAAAGTCATGCTCTCCCTCAACTAACAGAAATTCATAAAATAACACTTAACTCAATGATACTACTTCGCTGCCTAACCTTTGCGCTCCTGTCCTTGTCTGAATGATATCGAAGAGATCTTGTGGCACCCACCACTACGTGGGCACCTAAGAGTAAATATTGGCAGTGGTTAAGGTAGCCAGTCAAAGGCTACTAAAACACCACATACAAAAACTACCCATGCCAATGATAAAGGCAAGAAGACTTTCCAGCCAAGTCTCATTAATTAATCATACCGAGGGGAGAACTAGAAATGGGAAAACATGAACGTTAAAAATAATTAAATAATTAACTAAAATCGGAATAATATGAAAAAAATATTATATAATGAAAAACATATGCTATGTAGCTATGTAAATTTGTAAATTAATAACAAAAATAACTTTTGTTGGGAGGTGTCTCCATATCCGTAGCCAAATGTGAGTTAAAAATAAGAAGCTCAAAAGTATACCCCCCCAAAAAGTTAGAAATTAAAAACCAAGGCTACCAGCCAGGTTGCCCTGGTCACGCTATTTTCCCGGCGGCCCGCCGTGCAAGAACTAGGGAAGTCCTAGCCAAAAAGATAAATAAATAAAGTTGCCAAAAATCCCAAAAAAATACTATGTTATGCAGAAAAATAAAGCGAACAACTTTTTGCCTCAGGTGGAGTTGGTTGTGGAGTTGGCTGTGGGGTTAAATCTAGTGGTGTCCTCTATGTGTTTGGCCAATAATGCCTTGCCCACTGAGGGCCCCACCTAATTTTGTAAGGGACGTCGGGCCCGGATCCCGGCTTTTATAAAGTCATTGTTCCGTATAATTTAAAAAAAAAAAAAAAAAAAAAATTGAAATATTAATTATAATTAAAAATATATATATGTTTTTTTTCTGTTTGGCTAGGCTGGGCAAGTGTACCCGGGCCACTCTGTGAGCCTAGTTAAAAACTATAATACTTGGAGAAAAGTGTGTTCTCTCACTTATGTGTACTTGCATATAGGAGGTGTTAAAGTGTGCACAAAGCCCGTAGACACGTTCTTTGTGCTACACATTGTGTATCCATTGATTTATGGAATTTTATGTGCACAATACTATATCTGCAATGCAGTACATGCTTTAAAGACATTTCAAATTCAAAAGTCGTAACTGTTTTCCATCTCTTTAGGGAGTTGTTTTGTCCTGCGGCGCAATTTGTTTTTCGACGTTTTCACACCTGACTGGGTAGTGTTTTGTCATCTTCCTTAGAAATGCAAATACCAGCAATCCATATTTATATTGACACATGACATTCAACTACATTATACAATGGCATTGAGCTTTGTTTGGATGGGGCTAGATCGAGAGGGACTTCGAGATAGAAATTGGGAACCTTAGGGTTAAAATACGTTTATTCTTTTTTTCTTTTTTTTTGCTGATCTGAGGCTTTTATCTGGCTTCCTTTTTTTTT